GATGTGGTCGTAGAATAGAATTGATCACTTTATCCATCCCCAAAGGGGAATTTTGGTCAAAGGTAGCAAGCTCCCGATGTGGGATTTGAACCCACAACCTTGACGATTAAGAGTCTTATGCCCTACCGACTGAGCTAACCAGGTTAGCTGTCAGCCCTTAGTGTATTGGGAGAAATCATAACTGGTATCAGTTATCAGTATCTCCTGTATTGGGAGGGGTCAGACGTGGTTGTAGGCATCCCATCTCTAGGGAAAGATCAGATGTGGTCGTAGAATAGAATTGATCACTTTATCCATCCCCAAAGGGAAATTTGCCTAAAGGAAACAAACGTCCAACGTGGGGCTCGAACCCACGACCCTGAGATTAAGAGTCTCATGCTCTACCGACTGAGCTAGCCAGGCTACCCATTCTCAACTCGTGTATGGGATGATATCATATAGTATTTGAGTATTTCGTAGATTGGGAGTGGTAACATTTTGCCAGAGTTACCAGTATCTTGGGGAACGGAAGGGGTCAGAAGTGGCTGTTGTTTCAATTGTGTTGTGGATCCGGTGGGAAGAGACTCTTCTTACATTACCAGTACAAGTATTGTATTGGTAGGGTTCAGTCATTTCCAGTATCCCGTGTACTGGGAAGGGTCAAATGTGGACCGTTGTCATTGATATCTCTTGGATTCAGAGCGGTCAGAAATGACCACGGTCAGCAATAACTCATAGATAGGAAGGGGTCAGACATGGCCCAAGGTTCCAGTGTCTCGTGGATTGTGATACACTTTTTCATAGTTCCCAGTATCTTGTGGATTAGGAGGGATCAGATGTGACTAGTATCCCCTTAACTGGTCGTGACCAGACGTAGCTACGTTTACCCATCTGATGGATTGTATTAGACCATGATTTCAAGTCTTTCGTTGATTGGGAGCGGTCAGATTTGGAAATGGTCATCATTATTCGTCAGAGTTTTGCTCAGCTGTGATGGAGGGCTGGACAAAAGTCTTTTTCTGTCTTTACACTAGAGGTATCCAACACAGATCCTCTTTGGACCACAGTCCTGCAGCTTTTAGTAGTTTCTCTGCTTCAACACACCTAATACACCTCAAAATGTGCTCAGTAGGGTTGTGCAGATATTTTGACACTGCTTCAGAGTGTGTCTGGTTTTAGGCTGATACATACGACTAAAACAAAGGTTGAGGGGGTGGCCCTATTTAAATCATGTCCCATAAAAACAGATTGATAAAAGAAAAAGGCACTGAGTTAAGGACTGACAGCAGATGTTAGCAGCTCAGTTTTATTGGATTCTTGCAGATTGAACGTGACACACATCACAAATGGGCAAATTAACAGTATTATTGTGTTGGTCTGGATAAACTGGACTTTAAAAAAACATGTATAATGTTGCAGGCAGCACATTTAGTAGAAAGAAACTACTGTCAACAACTCTGACTGAATAAAACAATTAAAGTGCAAATAGAAACTTAAGAATAAATAAGATCTTATCAAACTGATCTTCTGAACATGTTGGAATTAAAACAAAAGTTTTCACAGAAGGCCATCTGGCATCAGTGCCAAAGCAAAAGTAAACCTCAACCTGGTGTGTTGTTAATGTGTTTCAACACTTCATTCACAGCTAAATACTGTAATGTGAGCTGGGTTCAGGTGTCTCTACATCAAGCTGATGTCAGAGGAGTC